CTGTAGCTGAGCTTTCAGAACACCATGCTTTAGGGAAAGTCGCCACAATGTAAATTTTGTGTGGGTGGCTCGCATTCTTAACCACAACGTGTGTGTTAGTGTGAGAATGTTAGCAAGAATGGCAACACAGAGAGTTAAGGGCAAATAAGGAAAGGTTTTGTAGAGTTCATCGATGCATGTTAAATGTGGTTATAATTATTTGTGTGCATGCATGGCAGTGGATATGTCGAAATCTACACAGAACATTGGTTTGGAGAATGGCTCCATCAATGGACATCAGGAGAATCAGAGGGTTAATGAGAGAGGGCTAGACAAAATATGATTTTTTTTGTGTCATATATGCGGTCAGARTAAATCTCCTTACTCAGGGGTTTTTGTGTGCAAGGGGGCTTTAACGTCCCCACTCTCCTTGATGAGACATCTTTCTTGTTTGTTCAAACCATTCATTACATGGTGGCTGCTGGACGAACCGTGCCGCTGGCCGGCGTATTTATCACCGGRCTAGAGCGCACTCTGGCTGACAGAAGGCGATTGATGACCGGGTCTGGACCTAAGAGGCTGAGGAAGCCTTAATACAATGTAAATGACCCACTCCTCATTTCCAATCTATGCTGCTCCTATCTGTACGACACCATCCTTCCCTTAGAGTCTGGATGTTTGTGTGTGCAGGGCTCTGTAGCATGTGTTTGTTGAAGACAAAGTAGGAGGAACTGTTTGCTTTGGTATATTTGCAAGTGTGTTTAGATGGTGACCAAGGTCATGTAAAAACACAAAGGAAAAAGGAGGGGAAAATGGTTGCACTCTTATTACATGTCGCTGTCAAGAGGATGTGCAGAAATACTGTATAATCACCTGCTGCTAAAAGTAAAGTTGGAGTGATAATGTTTTTGCCTGTGTTTGTTTTTCTGTACTGTTAGCAAAATTTCTCGCCAACCACTAAATATATTTTAAAGAAATAAACCCTCAGGTTGAATCCACATATTGKTCATTCTTTGTTTTTTCCATTTTAAAATAAAATGAGAAAAAATGAATAATTGGGTGGTTCTTTATAGGTTTTTTGTTTAACAACTAAATAAGAAAAATGACTATTGCGAAACTAAAAAAACAATTTTTAATTAATTTTTATTTTTTTGGTTTTTAATGGTTAAAGTAAAGACAAGCTTTATATTTTGTTAGTGCACGATTTCTGGCGGAAGTGGAAATCATGGCCTGAATTCCTGGCACATTRAGTTTTCACTTAGCACTTTAGAAATGGCCAAAAATCACGGATATGGATGTCTTATTTTGAGGGAGTCGACACACTTCATTGAGAGCTGATGATATTGCCGTGAACAAATTTGTTTTTATATTYCAAGTTACGCAGAGGGTTCAAGTGCAGCAAATTCCAATATATCTTTAGAAATGGTTTTTGTTTTTAAGCAGTTTTCCAGCCGCTATAAAGTCTTATTTTTTGACAACTTCCCTCATTTTTAGTATTGCTACATGTTAAAACAAGAATCATATAGTATGGATTAATATTTTGGATTTAGATAGTGAAAGCAAAAATCAAACACTGGATTTTAAATTAGTTGGATTTGACATTTTTACATTTCAGTTTTGAAAAGCATACATAAATAAATAAAAACAACACATTTATTTTATTTTTGCGATTTAATTTTGAAACAGAAAAACCAATGAATGAACCACAGACATGGCGTTGGCACCTATATTTCATTAACTTTTGGATTCAAYCCAATTTAAAATGCCTGTCACAGCCAGCTGACCAATCACAAAGCTATATAGCTCAGCCAGTTTTGCAGATACTGAGCCAAAGCTTTCTAGAGAAGTTGAGCATCTTCCTCAACACATATTTTAAACACAACACATTACTTAGCATCCTCTTTTAAAACATTGGCATGGATTGTTGGAGTCAACCATGTTTGTCTGTTAGCAACAAAACCAATAAACGACTGAACAAATTTTAATGAAACTTCCAGGAAGCAATCATTTGTTGTACACCTGCAACTGATTAACTTTTGGAGTCAGCCCCATTCAAGATGGCCACCAMAGCTAATTGACCATAGCAAAGATGGCTACACCTCAGTGATTTTTACAGAAATCGAGCTAAGATTTGGCATGTTAGGAGCAGACTGTCATTCATAAATAACACCGGATCATGCAAGATCACAGAAGATATAATCATGTTATTTTAACAGCTTTTCGTTTTTAACTCTAAGAGGATTTCAGTTTAAAACAGGCATGAAAGGCAGCAGGCAATACGCATTCCTTCAAGAAATCCTAGGCTTTTAATTTATATAAGATTTTGTGAACTGTGCCATCTCTTGAGCACCTTAACACACTTTTCATTCATGCATGCACACACACACACCCTTAGTAACTCAGTCTGTGTTAGCCAAGGAAATGTCAGCACCTGGCAATCAGAAAATGTATTTTCTATGCAACCATTATCATTGTTCCTTTGTTAATGATTTTAGCATATTAAAGGGGTCTGTGTACACAAGTACGAATCAGATTAATCCTCCTTTGCAGCGGGGCCTCATTATATGTCCAATCTTAGCCTTGTTTGTTATTAATTGTGCACATTCCTAGAACCATGCTTTAATCTGTCCTTTAATTAAAACATTGAAACAGCCATGGCTACCTGGAAGAAGAAATCCTCCTGTCTGCTGATATAAATTCTCACTTACATCAATTATTTCGGCAGTAAATGAGAAAATGCTTCTTGAGCAATTGTTATCATTTCATGTTCAAATTGGATTCAATTAACACAAGCCAGTCGAGCATCACCAGCTCGGATTTTGCTCTCTTGATGAGTGTGAGGAAATGATAAAGCAGAAGTTTTGACGGTTGGAGGGAGGATTCTTGCGGGGGGAGGGGGGGGGGTGGGTGTCTGTCAATGGAGCTTGAAAACATCTGAAAATAGAAAAGGATTCATGCCACCTTTAAAAAAAAGAATTTTCGCTGAGATTTTATTTGTAAGTGTCATGCCGCTGAATGCGTTTTATGCCTCCGTGTGTATTTCTGTTTGCGCATGCTTTTGTGCGTGCGTACGTCCGCGTGCACGTCTGCTCTCTGTTTAGAGCGCCTGAATGAAACACATAGTGTCTCATTTGTTTCGTTTGCGTGCGCCCCGGCTCCTAATCTGGCCCTTAAAGACATCTGTCACCAGCGATCACTGTTGTTTTGTCATGCTTCGTAGCAGGCCCAGAGGGAGCGAGGCAGCCCAAGGTCTGCCATTTATATCAACCAATGTTTTTTAGATTGGACCTGACACAAATAGTCTCATTGCAGCCGCTTGAAAATGGAGAATTCCATTTTCAGGTAAAAAATCTTGGCAAAGCTGGAGAGGGGATTTCACAGTATTCTCTTTTGGCATTAGCCTGTATTCAGCTGYTCTCTATGAAAGAGCCACCACCAGGATACATGTCAGACATTCAAGGATGGATAAATGTATTCACTGCAAATCTGCACCCACTCATTTTGTTCCAAAGCATTTTAAAAGGATATATGTACCAGGCCTCCTGGAAAGTCTTGTCAACATGTGTTCATGAGTGTTTGTTGGTTTGTTTTCCTTGGCCGATTGCATATGATCGAAATGTATGCCGTTTTGTGGTAGGCAGGCTAAGAATCAGGTATGGGGTTATCGCGGTCGACAGTTTTTGACAAACTTGTTTGGCCAGTTCTGACAGGTTCAGCACAAAAGTTCATGCGTGACTGTGTGCGCGTGTGAGAGGGCGAACACTCGCACACAGGGAACATCTACACTGTGCAAGGAAGCAGCAGGGTTGGGTAGAGGTCACAAGGAGGTGCAGCCTTGAGTTACACAACGCAACAAACACAAACAAATGTATTGAACAATTAAAGGCCCAGCACTGTCTTTCATGTCAATGTTTAAATAGGATCATCTTATGCAGAGAAATGCCAGAGTTGTAGACATTTTGGTCAAACATTGAAAATAATGTGCAAACTCAAAAAAATCGCAAGATGTCACTCAGCGAATTACTTTTAGCTACTAATTTTTATCTCAGTAGCTCAAAGCTTGACTAAATTATAGCCATATTTGTGTTGGGTAATGTTGTTGAGGTGTGCAAAATTTTTGGCCACAATATTTGTGTTAAAAATTGACAGATTTATAGACATTTTGTATTTTTAAAGTCAGTTGGCTAGCACAGCCATCTTGAACTGGGTTAAAAGTTAATTAAATTGTCAGTAGATATCCAGGTTTCATCAAATCTGTTTGAAGATTCACGGCATATTTTGCTAACAGACAGACTCACAAACATCCATGTGTCTCAGTTCAGGGGCTGAAGCCCACGTAGGGGGCACATTTGCTGGTCGCTTACATCACTGTTGCCTCGCCATAGGCTGTCGCAATTCGTAGGCGACTACTCATGTGGCTGAYAAAACCCCCAAAACGCAGGCTGCGTCTGAGTATCCTACGCGGCCAATGATATCCCAGGATTCATTGCGCCRTCAGCAAACTAAACAGGAAAAACAAAAACGGCAGAGTTTRCAACATAGCTGATGAAATTTTTGTTGCAATGTGATGTTAAATAAAATACATTTACAATACTGGATCTAAACCCAAATTAGCAATTTTTAAAATTTATTCAAGTGTAATGTTTTTAAATAATCCTGACTTTTGTTAAGTTATATCTCCAGTGAAAAGATATGCGCATACATGTTCCAACTCAAGGCATGTGATATAAAATGTAACACAATGGTAACGGGGCAGTGCGTGGTCACGCAAACATACATCGTCCAAAGACTACAGCTCATAGTGTGGCCTACCTGGGCTGTGGTCTGTGTGGGCTGTAACCCCTGAATGGGGACACAGCTACAGATATGAGCAAAACCATTATTGACAGCCTTTTTTTTAACAAATGCAACAGTTTGTATTTATATTCTCTCTTTATGAGTGCTAGTGTATTTTTTTTTTTTGTCATTTCATCTGAGATGCTCATGTGTGGTTTCATCTTTCCCTCTGTTTGCCCTTGCAGCACCCCTACCCCTCTGAAGAGCAGAAGAAGCAGCTAGCCCAAGACACAGGCCTCACCATCTTACAAGTAAACAACTGGTGAGTCAAGATTTCYGCTCGCCCTATCTCCACCACCAGCACCGCTCTGCCTTTTATTTTCGAAAGCCTCAGCCGCCCCTCYATCCACCAGCCATGACGGCTAATGCTCCGAAAGTGTGAAAACCGTTTATGTGCATCATATAGACACACAGAGGTGCACACATAGACATACACATAGAAAACCTTTGTGACGTTATTATTTTTAAGCTACCGGGATGTTCCTGTKTTATCAGTACAGTGTTAGCAGCTAAGTCTGTGATCTTTGTGGTCTGATGCATACGTACTCAATGGGATATATTTAAGGTAGCAGACAGAGATCATAAGCTAACCATACAGCCCCCACACCCTRCCCAGCTCCTTCATCCAGAACCGTACCTAGCACTGCCACTGGTGCCCCCACAACAGGGAAAAAAAAACCTGCCTTCCACCCCCTCCCCATTTTACAGCAGCTATAGGGTGGATTAAGGTTTTGGTGGCCTGGCCAGCAGGGCCTTTGTAGATGGCTTAGCACATAACTGGGGGTGGTGGATTAAATAAAATGATCACAGAAGCAAAGAAATGATACAGGAATTACTTATCAAAATACTAGCCCAGGTTTTATCTGGRGCTTAATTTTGTTCAGTACATTCTCAGGGTGATGTTCAGATTAATTGAACTGACAGCTTCCTTTCAAAATTCCGGGAAGGTATTTGCACGGATTTCAGGTCTTACACAAACTTAATTATATGGAACCCCATTTTATCATTCTAATTCCATGTAGCGGGGGTTCTATTTACAAATGACAAGTCTGTGCCTTTTATTCACAGCTTTCCTTAATATATTTATCAAAGTGGGTTCATTTACAAAGTGCTCTATCTGTCGAATACAGGCAGGCCGACATTAACGAAGCTTTTAGGTTTATCAGGCTCGCAGCCTGACAAGCCACCCGAGGGTCAATTGATTTTTTTGGTCTGTGATTCATTTTTTTCTCTCGTTTTTCCCCGCTCACAATGAGAAACATGCCTGGAGAATTAGCTAGGTTTGTCTGCCTTATCTATCAGCCCCCCTCCCTCAACCAACACCCCACCAACACTCTCTCTCTCTCTCTCTCTCTCTCT